GTTTTGAATTTATATAAGCAGTGTGCATATCTCATCATGTTGCTTAGTCTCTTCTTAGCTTCATTTTAAAATATATATATATATATTTTTTTTTTTGAGAGGTTTTTGCTGTAGGGCATGTGTGCTCACCGGAAAGACAGAGAGAGACAGAGAAACAGAAAGTGAGAAATCACCCCCCAGGGGAGATGGCCTTGTCGCAATCCCTTCTCCTCCATTCTCCTCTCGGGATCTTGGGCACGCACGCACATGCGCCTGGCGTGAGTTTAAGCTGCCAGGTCCAGGACTCAAACCGTGGTTGGCTACATGGGAATCCAGTGACACAGCCATTAGACTAGCTGCTGGTCCCTTAAAATATATATATTTTTGATAAGCTATGCTCTCCACCTGGCTCACTGCTGCCTGTCTCGTACTTGCTTCCACTCTGAATCAGTCTCAGTCCTGTTCTAGCCCACTTACTCCCCATGCTTTGTGTCACCCACTTTCATTGTTTTCCCAAGTGCCGCTGACGCATGGTGTGCTACAGGTTTTTAATGAGACTTTGGGGATGAACAGAGCATAACACAGAGAGGGAACCAACATTAAGCAAACCAGATGGGCCACCGTAGAAGACATTGGCCTGGCTCAGAGCTGCAGACCTTCTTGCTGGCTAGGCCTCTCTTAGTTCATCTTGCCTTCATCTTGCCTGGCCTCTCTCCCTCCAAATCCTCTTTCCAAACTGATTTCCAATGTTAATTCCCAGATTTCTACACATTCAGAGTAGTAATTCCTCTCTGGTCTGGCCAACCCAGGCCATGCTGCAAAGGTCTCACCTGTCATAGCTGAAGGTTCTCTTAAGACTTCTCTAGCTATTTTCTTCGCTCTGCAAAAGTCATTCAGCTCCGATGGATTCACGGATTTTCTCAATAGAATTTTCTCCCATAATAATAGACTATGTACTAGGTATATTAAAAACCATGGCTTGGCTCTTATCATCCATTCTTTCTTCTCAAGGCCAGCATGAGGTACAGCTTAGGGCTCTTCACAGCCCCCCTGAGAACACTGCCTGTCCCTCCACAAGGCCCAGCAATCTCATGGTCTTCCCTGGAATGGTGGCAATCCGTGTATCCTTTCCCTTGGTGTGGTTGGCCATGAACTTAACTCCCTGCCTCCTTCCTCCCTTCTAGCCTGGGGAGCTCCAGACAGATCCTCTTCAACTTCTCAGGAGAAGACATGGAATGGGACACAGAACTCTTTGCACTGGAGGCCTTGGCATCTCCGGAAGAGGACTACTATGAGACAGAGAACCCCAAAGGACAGTGGTTGCTTCGAGAAAGACTCTGGGAGCGGACAGTGCCCTGATTTCACTTTGGGTCCTAGGCTTGTTTCAGGCTGAGTCTTTGTGAAGGTGTCTGCTTTCAGTGGGGCATGAAGTTTTGGTTGAGTGAAAAAGTGGAAATTGTAACCCAGTTAAACCCCTCAGCACTCTGCCTACTGGTGCCCAGCTAGTGCCAAACAATTCTGCAGTTTCCCAGAGCACATGCCTCAGAAGTCTGGGAGCCTGGACTTCCTAGCATGCACAGGTGAGCAAGAATTGCCACCCACCCACCCACTTCCAAGAACAGAGGAATGGAAGGCCTTAGTGGAGTGTTGAGGCTCACTCCAGCCTTGTCTGGCCTGTCCCCATTCCCGAGGCATCTGTGCCAGTGACTGCCAGCAATGTGCTCTGCACCAGAAATCCACCCGTGGATCTCCAGGCCAAAATATTTAAAGTGGTGGCACCTAGTTCCTCTTTCTGCAGGGCTCAGAAACTCTTATACGGAGGATGCCTTTTATTGTGCAGATTGTAGCTCCTTTTGCTGTCTTTTCCAAGTTTTCCAGAAATGTCTCCTAGATTTAATGAGGAAGATGAGGCCAATATTCTAGAAGTGGCGTGAGGAAAAGGTATGTCAAGGCTCTACTTTGGGACCATGTTATGTCCTCCAGTTCAAAGATTCAGCTCCATTTTCAGCAACTGGCAGGGAAAGGAGGATGGAGTGGTTCTTCTGTTTTTCTTACTTTTTAATTCTTATCTGGAAATCTTTTGTTTTTCTTCTTCTATTTTTCCTTCTTCAATTGCCAGAGGACTTGTGCACTCCCCAAGAGACACACAGAGACAGAGGGGGGAGAAAACACCCTCCAGTGGGGCATGGTCATGTTGCAATCCCCTCTCCTTCATTTCTCCATCCTGTTGGGATTTTGTGCATGCATGCACACACAATGGTGTGTTTTTCAAGCTGTTGTGGTTGAGATTTGACCTGCAGTTAGCTGTGTGAGAGTTGGCTCTCTTAACCATGATGCTGTGCAGCCTAACCTTACCCAGAAAAAATTTATAAGTATCCATACAACTATTGGGTTGTTGGAAAAGTCACAACTTTTTTTTTTTTTTTATGTTTCTCTACGCAAAAAATGTATCATGACCATTCCAACAACCCAATAGTTTATGACAGGTTATGCTGGTCCCTCCTTCCAATTAAAAGGACAAATAGAATCATTAACTTCTTTATGTCTAGAAAGGGCTTTTGTATTTTAGGAAACATCTGAATCAGAGTTATATTTTCAATATATTCTTAGTATTTCTAACCTACTTTTTCCATTTTGCATGTGGTTGTGCCCATTTGAGTTTGGGAACCACCAGTCTGGAGAATACACTGCACTTTGTCCATTCTCACTTATGTCTCTTGGCATTTTGTTGTAAAGCAGTTGGCTGGGGGAGGGGGCTTGGGTGGGTAGCACATGTTCCTGAATGTATGAGGGCCAGTGGGGAGAAGGGAGGGAGATGACAAGGAAAATCCAGTCACCTAAATTAAGCCAACCATGCTCTAAGCTTGGACCACTTTAAGAACTAAATAAAGGCTTCCCTTCTGTCAAGCCTGTGTGATGATATTCTTATCAGTTGGCTTTTTTAGAAAGAAACCATAATTTATGTGAACCTGATTATCTAAATCTAAGTATTTGTAATGTCTAAGAGAAAAAAATAACAACTGCTAATTCTGTGACATTTTTAGAAATTTTATATCAACACATCTTCAGAATGAAAACATACTGGAAATGTTTTAGTTCTTCTCTTTCTTATTTTGTGAGTGCCAACACCAATGTTTGGGAATTTTCTTTAATTTTATTGCATGTACTAACCCAACTATAGCCAGAAGTCTGACTACAAAATAAATGTTTGGGAGATTTGTTTTATAAACTGCATTAAAGCCCTGCAGTGTAACATTATCATGGATCTTTCTTTTTCTTACACGTGACCTGGCTTTAAGCTTCATGTACGAAAGTTCATTTCTGGGGATAAAGATCTCCTTACTCTGTTCCTTATCAAACTACAGTTTATCATAGATGGAGCCTGACATTTTGTGCTGAACATACAGATAGGAAAACAAATAAATGGGACAAAGGGGATGTTCAAAGTCCGAATTTTTTTTAAAAAGCATTTATTGCTTATGGGGCATGAAGCTGTGCTTTTCTATTTTGGTTCATGTTTTGTATAAGTTCATCTTTAATGTGGTGACACATAGACTGCCTAAAAATTTCCATCATTTGGAAACATAAGAGTGGCTTGTCTTGTGGGATGATGTCTAGGTCTTTGAAGTTAGAGAGAAACCCCAGGATCTGGGCTATGCCTGGGAAATCCTAAGATGGTTTCTGCTAGAATTTGAGATCATTCCAGACTGAAACTAAAAGTCAAGTCGGGAAACCCAGCTGATGTGTCTGATTCTCTTCCCCCGTCAATTGATCAGTTATTCAGTGGAATCAGCCGGTTGTTGGGGCACTATTTTAACACTCCTGTGTTCCCAGGACTTTTTTAGTTTTGATACTTGAAAATCTACATAACCCAAGACAGAATGCCAAAAAAAAGAGGATCTGAGTCCTTGACATCCGGCTCGTTCCTTTGCCTGTGATTTCTGACACCCACCACAGAAATATGTCCTCTTCTGTGGAGGAAGATCCTTGGAGCTCTTGAATTTCATTTGAGTTGTGTGTACCCAGCCTTTCGCCTAGTTGCTATTTAACTGAGAACATGGCTGCCAGGACAGAGCTTTCTGGTGCACACTCTCAGAAGCAGAACCCAGAGAGCATGATCACTGATCACCTTTTCATAGTGGACTAGTTTCAAGTCACTGCTAACAAAATGCTATAAATTTAGGGACCTTAAACAACACAAAGCTCTTCAGTCTGGAGGTCAGTCAGTCTCTCTGAGGTAATCTGAGGTCCCCTCTGGAGGCTTTACGGGACTAAGTATTTCTTTGCCTTTTCCGGTCTCCAGGGGCTACCTGGTTTCCCCAGCTCATGGCCGCTTCCCTGTGTCACTCCGACCTCTTGTTACCAGCCTCACATCTCCAACTGCTCACCCTGTTCTCCTGCCTCCCTTTAATAAGGACCTATGTAGGTATATCAGTCCTGCCTGGATAATATAGCCTAATCTCAACTCAAAACTCTTCATTTAATCAAATCTGCAAAATTTCTTTTGCCATATAAAGCAGCATTCATGGTTCTGGGCATTAGGGTGTAAACATCTTTGGGAGGCTGTTATTCAGCCAATTACACGTACTGGGAAATCTTAAGATGGTTTCTGCTAGAGTTTGAGGTCATTCAAATCTGAATGATTATTAGAACACCCTGTTCTAGTACAAGCTCAGCCCAAATCCCTTTTGAGTTTTATTATAACCGTCAAATATCTATGACAAACTCTGACTTAACTGTTATTTCCAATCCCTTTAGTTCTGGCTGCTACCTTATCATTTATTTTTTATTTTTATTTTATTTTATTTATTTATTTTTTGGGGGGGGCGATTTTTGCTATAGGGCATGTGCACTTGTCAGAAAGGCAGAGACAGAAATGGAGAAATCACCCTCTAAGGGGGAATTAGCCACACTGCAATCCCTTGTCCTTCATTATCCTCTTGGTATTTCAGGTACACATATACGTTCCCCAGTGTGTTTCAAGCCACCAGGTCCAGGACTTGAACTGCAGTCAACCATGTGGGAATCCAGCACCTTAACCACTATACCACCAACTGGCCCTGGTATCTTATAATTTTGTTGAGGTGAAAGTCTGTCTTGTTTGACAGGTTCCAATTTCAAAAAGACTTTTTAATGATACAAAATTCCCAAATGGAAAAACATGACACTTCAGTTCTGTAAGGATGAGCTTCTACGTAGACATTGCTACTGGTCAAGAGTAATGGTTTCCTTCGATTCGCCTATCAAGTCTTTATTAAGCAACTGTTAAGTGCCAATTTAAAATAGCACATATAAGGGACCAGCAGTTGGTGTAATGGCTATGTCACTGGACTCTCATGTAGTCGACCGTGGTTCGACTCCCGGACCCGGTGGCTTAAACTCATGCTGGGCGCGTGTGTGTGCGTGCCAGGATCCCGAGAGGAGAATGGAGGAGAAGGGATTGTGGTGTGGCCATCCCCCCTGGGAGGTGATTTCTCGCTTTCTGTCTCTCTGTCTCTCTGGTAAGTGCACCTGCCCTATAGCAAAAACCTCTCAAAAAAAAAAAAAAAAAAAACCCCAGGATCTGGGCTATGCCTGGGAAATCCTAAGATGGTTTCTGCTAGAATTTGAGATCATTCCAGACTGAAACTAAAAGTCAAGTCGGGAAACCCAGCTGATGTGTCTGATTCTCTTCCCCCGTCAATTGATCAGTTATTCAGTGGAATCAGCCGGTTGTTGGGGCACTATTTTAACACTCCTGTGTTCCCAGGACTTTTTTAGTTTTGATACTTGAAAATCTACATAACCCAAGACAGAATGCCAAAAAAAAGAGGATCTGAGTCCTTGACATCCGGCTCGTTCCTTTGCCTGTGATTTCTGACACCCACCACAGAAATATGTCCTCTTCTGTGGAGGAAGATCCTTGGAGCTCTTGAATTTCATTTGAGTTGTGTGTACCCAGCCTTTCGCCTAGTTGCTATTTAACTGAGAACATGGCTGCCAGGACAGAGCTTTCTGGTGCACACTCTCAGAAGCAGAACCCAGAGAGCATGATCACTGATCACCTTTTCATAGTGGACTAGTTTCAAGTCACTGCTAACAAAATGCTATAAATTTAGGGACCTTAAACAACACAAAGCTCTTCAGTCTGGAGGTCAGTCAGTCTCTCTGAGGTAATCTGAGGTCCCCTCTGGAGGCTTTACGGGACTAAGTATTTCTTTGCCTTTTCCGGTCTCCAGGGGCTACCTGGTTTCCCCAGCTCATGGCCGCTTCCCTGTGTCACTCCGACCTCTTGTTACCAGCCTCACATCTCCAACTGCTCACCCTGTTCTCCTGCCTCCCTTTAATAAGGACCTATGTAGGTATATCAGTCCTGCCTG